TTACTTTTGTAAATAAAGAAGAAAGATTTTTTAGGGAGTGATTGGGTGATTTGTGTTTAAGATCTTTAAGATATGGGTTGATTTAGAAAAGGAAAGAAATTTTAGAAAATCTTCGTTAAATCTTCGACATTCAAGGTATGTTGGAAGGGGGAAACAAAGTTCGGTAAATAAAAAAAAGAAAGAGGAAAATTTCCGGGCAAGTTTTAGTCCCCTTCGCTTGGCGTGCGACACTCGTGGACTGGGGGGCTGATGTTGGGCGGCATTTCTGGAATCATTAAATGTGCAATAAATTCAAAGGCTCATCGGAGCCCAAGCTATCCCGAGCCCAAGTTCTCCGGAGCCCAAATTTGCCGGAGCCCAAGCTCTCCCGAGCCAAGTTCGCCGGAGCCTAAATTTGCCGAAGCCTAAGCTCTCCTGAGCCCAAGCTCTCCCGAGCCCAAATTTGTCAGAGCCCAAGCTCTCGTGAGCCCAAGCTCTCCCGAGCCCAAATTTGCCGGAGCCCAAGCTCTCCCGAGCCCAAGTTCACCGGAGCCTAAATTTGCCGGAGCCCAAGCTCTCCCGAGCCCAAGTGAGACCGGAGCCCAAATTTGCCAGAGCCAAAGCTCTCCCGAGCCCAAGCTCTCCCGAGCCCAAGTTCTCCGGAGCCTAAATTTGCCGGAGCCCAAGCTCTCCCGAGCCCAAGCTCGCCGGAGCCGAAAGTTCAAAGGTCGCGTGATGTTATCAAGTGAAGTAACTGACGCTAATTAAAGACATTGAATGGTTGAAAGTTAATTCTCATTGATTATTTATCAATTTTAACTCACAAAAAAGGTGAAGAGCCTCTTTGTAATTAAGAGAGAATAAACTCTCGAATTAATGGGAGAATTAAACTCCCTCAATCCTAATGTACTATAAATTCCCTCAGTTTGAGAGGGAAAGGAACACTCATTTTTCTGAATACAATTGCCTTGTGATTGTCATCATTTTATTTTTGTTTTTCCTTCAGAGGTTCTTTGTGTTCTTCAAGTGTTCTTCCAATTTCCTTAGATAATTTGCTTATTCAATCCAAATTATTAGTCTAGGGACACTGGATAGGTGTTGGACGAAATTTTGCTCCAACAATGTGTAATGTGTATTTATGGATATTTTCTATTTAAAGAAATAAAGGGCAAATATTGTTAGTCAACTAGAAAATGAAAGTTTTCTAAAATTAGCAGTTCTTTGATGAAAGGAACAGATTTAATAAAATTTGAAAACTGATCCTCTCTCTACCTTATAAATAAGTATCTTATTATATCAATAGACATAACAATCGAAAGGTTAAGGGAGAGATATACAGTTTCACTATGTGTCGCTTGGTCTCTTCAAGAGTTATCCTAGGGATTAAGGTATGTCTTCTCTCAATTACAAAACTGTGAAAATTATATTGTTTTAAGATCTTTAGGCATTATGATGTATACAATATTAGATTTTGAATTGTATAATTAAAGAATTACTTACAGGAGAATTATTGATGTTTTGTTCAACAATTCAAATTTAAGATTCACATTTCTAATTGAACTAGGTTTAAATTAATGTCTACTAGAGCTACCAATTTTGATTATTTTAAGATTGAAAATCCAAGTTTTAAATCTCAATAAGGATTAACATCCATCCCTAAATCTTAATAATTGGAAAGAGATTGATTTTTACTTTTCCTCAGTTTATCTTACGCTTAAAAATGTTACAATATTTTCGTTTCAATTACGATTTAAATAGTTTTATTGTCCTGTGTATTCATAATGAAGAGAGAAGTAAATTATCTTCCATATTCTATATTAAAAATCTATCATTTACACAGAAGTCTTATCAGATTTTTGCATACACTCTTATGAGAGTTCTCAACACTTTATTTAAACACAATTTAAATTTTATTTATATTTCAAATTACTATTTATCCGCGTATCTAAATATCAATTCAAATCATCTCGTTCATATTTTTCAACTTGAATCACCACAATTTAAACTATCACAATTTGAATTATTGAACCAAACAGGGTGAATTATTTTGATGCCATTTTAACTCTTTGTAATGATTATACTGTTAAATCTTGGGCGCTTTTGGGTTTAGCATCTTGACCTTATACATGGAATTAAATCCAAATATGCACTGCTTTAGCATGAGAAGTGTTCACATGTGTACTGTGTACATATATATATATATATATATATATTTTAACAATAAATCTCTATTTTATTTTTTGTTTAATTTGCTTGGTAACAAATTTTTCATTCTAGATGCCAAACATCCAATAAGGGTATTCCAGTAATTTAATTGTCTAATTTGGTGTTTGATACGAGAACTAGAAGAGTATAAATTTTTGTAACAATTATAAAATAATTTGTGAAGCCATTTTTTTTTTTTACAGGAAATTTCATTCAACAATTAAGTTGATACAAATATATATTCACAAATGATCACTAAATATAAGAGCATTCCAGCATAGATAAAAATTAGATCCACCAAACTTAGAAAAGACCTAATTGACATATTAATAATTGAGCATGTTTGACGAACCATACAATCGATGGATAAAACCCAACCAATCAAGACCATTAGCGACGCTACAAGGAAGCAAACCTCGTAGAGGGTACATACAATAATAATCAAAGTGTGAAGAGAGCATGTCTATTATTACATCACGAGCGCAAAAACACACAAACACTTGGGCATGTTTAGTTCATACATTTAAACTAGTGATTCTTGATTTTGACATTTGAAATTTAAATTTTTTGTGAGAGAAAAAACTTAGTTGAATCAAAACTATGAGTTTAAACGCAGCAAACAAACGAACCCTTGATAATAATGATGCGACGAAGATGTTGTCACCTTTATTTTATATAAACAAGAGTAATGTTAGGGACGCTAACTCAAATCTCAATTCTTATATACCAACTGATGTGGTATGTGAGTTGTCATCTTTTTATTAGTAGATGCAATATTTTATCATTAATTGACATGACAATGCTTTAAACACCTACCAGTGTAAAAATGACAACTCATATGTCATATCAGTTGATACACAAAAGTTGATATTTGAGTTGGTGTTCATAGTATTATTCTATAAACAAAAATCTCATTTAGAGAAAACACCGCAACAAAAGGACAACCGCTGCCACCAACCACCATGGATCACCTCCCATTAAAATTACAGGTATGTGTGGTTCATAGATTCAAATCATGATTCATGATTTTAATTTTTGAAATTCAAATTTTTTGTGAGAGAAAAATACTGTAATAGAACTAAAAATCATAATTTGAACCATGCAGAATTTTTAAAACAAACGCACCCAATATTGCGCTAGAATGAACAATATTGTTGTAATGAGATCAAATCCCTCCAAAAAAGAAAAAAGAAAAACAAAACAATGCAAAATGTTATTTCCAAGTTCATATTGATAATAACCATACCATGTAACGAACAATGAATAATACTATTTATTTATTTTCCCTAAAAAATACCATTATTTATTCCAAAAAATGTTTTTGTTACATAAAAATTATTTAATTTCAAGAGTGCATGGATCATGATTTTTACCATTTATTCTTAATTAATACCCTTTTATAAGTATAATTATTTGACTAAAAGTTATCAATTTTTAACCTATGTTATGGCTAAATCTTCTTTAAGTACCATGTATTTTTTATATTTTAAATTGGTATCTTAACGTTTCGAAAAATATACTTATGAGAAGGCCTTTTTTTGGACATGAAATGTAAAATTTGCCCTTCATGATAAGTTCTTATTTGGTTGAATCGAAAGAGAGTTGATCATTGTAAAGAGTTAGATAAGTTCAACTTCAAACACGTTTAATAAATAGTAATGGCTTTCAACTAAATAAAAAGTTATTACGAAGGGCAAATTCAACATTTCATATCTCAGAACAGGCTTTAAGAAGATTTCTTTTAAAATATTGAGATATCAATAAAAAATTATTGAAAACACAAGGTATTAAATGAAAATTTTGCTATAACACATAGTACTAAATCAAAATTTTCCCTTGTTAAATCTTGAATTTAATTGTGTTGGAAAAATTGAAATTTATTCAAAATTCTAATTGTATGGTAACTGGGATGTTAATTTTATAATGAATCTAAAAGAATAATGCAAAAATGAACATGCAAGAGTTTATAGTTTAGAGACCAAAATCATAGGCTTCATTCGCAAAATCCAACATTTTTGGATTGCATCGGATTAGGTTAGGAGACTTTAGAATTGGAACTAGATTGGAATGTTGCCATTCCGAAGAATATAGACAGGATTGCTAATCAACCCATAATCCACGAAACCCAATCTAGAATCCTTTAAGGAAGAATGTAGTAAATAGTAGATTTATGAAACTAAATGAAATAAATAATATATTTTAAAATTATTAAAAATAAATAGTAATTTATATAGTAAATGAATTATTTATCACATAAATAGTTCATTTACAGCCAACAAGACATATTTTTTCACGTAAATTCTCTTTTTACTATTGGTAAAAAGTTTTTTTCCCACATAAATAAAGATTTTTAAGACTTTTTTACTATGTAAGTTATTTTTCACCAATCATTTTACCACGAAAACTGTTATTTATTTCAAATAATTTTAAAATCTACTATTTACTTAATTTAATTTCAAATATATATTACTTACCACAATTTCCTCTTAATTAATTTTATAGTAATAATATTTACAATAATAATAATACTGAAAATACTAGTAATGACAACCATTTTCAGAAAGACTTTTATCTCGAGTTCATTTTTTTCTTCAAAAAAAGTTGACATGCCAACAATAAAATTTAAACCTTGTAAAAAATAAACAAATAAATAAATCGTCAAAATTGAACCGAGTTGAGCAAGGCCAAAAATCTCCAAGCTGTTAATTTTGTATGTATGCTTTGCACACCAACAGAAACGCTCCACATACCACAATAATTATCGACAAAATTAAAGGTGATAAGGGCAATTTGACAGAGGCCTTGCAACTTTTAACTTCCACCAATACTCATCGATGTAATCCATTCTTTTCTATTAGCAAAACATCTTCTCTTGAAACTTGTATAAATATAATAGACAATCAGATCTCACCAAATATAATATGAAAATTCTGCTCATGCAACTATTGAAACTGGTCGAAAAATTCTTGCAGGTTACTAACAGATATTCCAGCGCCGCCTTAACTGGGAATGTTGATAAAACACAGAGAGGCAGCCTCAATCTACATTTTTGCTATACTTAACAGACAATTTGAAAAGGGATGACAAGGCAGCATGCGTCGCTGGCTCCATTGATGGAATGTTAAACGCAAATCTTGATTAGAAGACATCTGGATGGAAGCGCCCAGGAATCGAGCTGCTCTGCTGAGCTTGCTTCAAATGCATTGTCAAGGCATAGTTGTTTACCTGCCACCAGATGCACAAAAGGGAAGATACATTAGTTCGTATGCAAAAACAGGAGTTTCAAACAAACTTCTCAAACACATTTTTTTCCTTAATTAGATTTCTTATTATCCGCAACGGTTATTCATTGAATTTGTCAAAAACGCTTGCATTTGTGCCTCCATTGTATTTTCTGCCATCTATGGTTATTCCAGGACCTTTACATTAATGCTTGTTACATTGCATCATTTTACATGCCAAGATTATGTAATTTAACTAGCCACAACATTAGCAGGATTGATAAAAGCAATTTGGTGGGCCATCCAAATCAATCATTATTTGACTCCTGCCTAATAGGACAAAAATAGTTGAGTAGAATAAGAGTTTATAAATCTGACCTCAAGTGTTCTCAACTGTTCCTGATATTGAGCCACCAACTGCTTCAGGTGTTGTATTTCTTGATTCCTATCCTCATATTGCTTCTGACGTTCGTGTTGGATGGTCACAGCATGTTTCAGTATGGTATTCTCCCTTATTAGTCCTTCAAGTTGTGCCTTCAACAACATATTTTCCTACAGCGAAAAAGAGTAGTAATGCAAGCTTAAAAATACAGAATGGTCGTGCTTGTATGCAAAGAACAGGTGTATGTGAAACAAGATATTCACCTTTTGAAAAGCTTGGGCCGCCTCAGCACCAGCATGAGCACTAATGGATTTCTCCAAAAGCTCAAGTGCCCTAGAAGCACGAGCTCTTAAATCCTCAGGACTGGTAGCACTCATCATCTCCCTAACAAACAAATTAACCCACTCTGCACCATCTACAGGAAGATTGTCAGAAGCTGATGGATTTTCAGAAACAGCAACGTTTCCATCATTTACACCTGCCAATTCATTCATAAAAAACTGTAAGGTTTTGTCCCTTGAAACAACAATTCCCATACATAAAGCAGCAAGGTTGTATATATATATAAAAGCACCCGATTTAACATTATTTATACATCAAATTTCATGTCATCTAAGAGAATAGATCATGCATAACATAATGTTTTTCATACGAGATAAGTTAGGAAAGCAATATGATAAATGAGGCAATTCACCACTTATGAGAAATAAACTGTACCTTTCTCCACAGCAACGTCTGCCTCCTCAGCAGGATCTGAATTTTCCTCAGTAGATCGCAGGCGAAGATCACGCAGGCTCTTGATGGCAGCCTCTACATCATTGTCGAAATCTTCCAGGGCTCTCTCAAGAACCTGAAAGGTAATTATGAAACGACCAGTCTAAAATTATGCTGAAAATAACATCAACTAAGCATTACACACAATTAAGTTGTTACATGCTAATTGCTAAGCGGCAGTTATTTCCAAGATCAACAACAAAAGAGGTGAAAATTTTGCTGACTACAAATAATGAATGTAATAGCACCCGGGGGAGGAAAAAAATTAGATAGAACCAAAAAAAAAAAAAAAAAAAAAAAAAAAAGGAAAAGAAAAAAAAAAAAAAAAAAC